CCCCCAATGAATAAGTAAAAGACAATGAACAGCATAGAGTGACAAGGATGATATAAGGCAACTGGTTTTATTTCTACTTTAAGTATCCTTATTAGTTCTTGTAATGAACGCTGCTGAATACATATATGCATTCACTGAACGAGTCCAGGTCCTTCTTAGGCGTCTTTTAGTTTGAAGGAACATTGAATGATGCCACAATATTAATAAAGATGATGATGATAATAATGATAATGATATTTATAATGATGATGATGATAATGATAACAATAATAATAATAATATAATAATAATGATAATAATAATAATAATAATAATAATAATAATAATAATAATAATAATAATAATGATAATGACAATGATAATGACAATGATAATGATAATAATAACACTATTTATTCATTGCGCCCACTCTCTGGTGGCTCATGGCGTACTGATTGGTGATTTAAGAGAAAGTAAATCTATTAATACGATTAGATTTAGATTCAACATGCAACAATCCTATCAAATGTGACAAAATATCTAAACACATTAAGAATGGAGACGGCTCATTCAATGACAGAAAATGTTAACTGCATTCTGTGTGTTATTGATGTTGTGTGGGGCTAGAGCTGTGAATAACTTGTTATCTATATGTTATATTCGGGAATGTCCTTAACTTTGGCAGCCTAAAACTTTCGAACCACTTAACTTTCGAATTTGAAAAAATTAATGATGGTTCAGAATCATTTAAAGGGTGCACAGTTATAATAAGGAGTCTGAAGTCACTGTGCATGTGGTTTTATTTTCAGTTTTTCATTAGTTTCGTTTAAATCTAATCTTAGGAAAGTGTCTTCTAAGACGCTTCTGTCCACAAGCAGTGCACACTGTTTCCACAATGATTTGATGATAGATTGCTTTGAGTCCATTCATTGATCGGGTACCCATCTAGTATACTATATAATATAAATGTATTGTCTTGAAACATTGAAACAACTAAATAGTTCTAAACCGCCTTGCAGACATGAAAACGCCTATAACTTTGGAACTTTTACCATATTTTCAAATCGCAACATTAAAATATTATTACGCTTGCATTTGCTTTTCACGTTTTTATATTTCTCCCTCCTACCTTCTTTCTCTCTATCTCTCTGTCTCGCTCTCTCTCCCCCCCCTCTCTCCTCCTCTCTCTCACTCTCATTCTCTCTCTCTCTCTCTCTCTCTCTCTCTCTCTCTCTCTCTCTCCCTCTCTCCCCCACTCGTACTCCCTCCCACCCTATCCCCTCCCTCAACCCATGCCAACCACAGACACAGAAAACTGTGAACGAACCGGTTTTGCAGAGTGGTTTTATTTGGTCTGCGGTCCTTTTTCTTTTCTCTTCCTGTAACTGTAAGTGTTTTACGGCGCTCGCAACTGCACAAGGTCATATGAACACGCTGGACACATCATGTGTTAGATTAGGAGTGTAGCTGAAAGACAGCAGTAAGAAGGAGACAAGGAGTAGCGGTGTAAAGCCAACAGAAAGAGTCAAAAAAGGGGAGGGGTGGGGGCAGAAAGTGGAGACAAAAGCAAACGACAGAACATGATTTGAGAACAGTAGAGGAGATGACAGGTGATTTTTCTTTCTTAGAGTAGTAAATTGTCCGTCGCTGTCAGGAATTGAACTCAGGACTTTTTGAATAAGAGGCGAACACCATAACCTCTAGATCACGAGAGCACCCCCCCCCCCCAACCCCCACGTTGTGCGCTCTACGTCGCATGACAATGTCAATGACAATCTTTTTTCATCTCTCAGGGAGAAAATTGTCTTGGTCGTTTACAATGGCAGTGGGGTCACAAAGTTCAGATGCACTCACGATATATAATGAAATATATCTGTAAGATAGATAGATAGATAGATAGATAGATAGATAGATAGATAGATAGATAGATAGATACCGAGAGAGAGAGAGAGAGAGAAAAGAAGGGTGTTTTGGGT